AGAGAGCGGGTGAAAGAAATAAATAGTTGCATTTACATTTAAAGTGTTTAGCAGATGCTCTAATCCCTACAGAAGTTCACATATGAAACTGATTTGATCAACAGATGGCAATTTGTAATTTACAATGTAATCTGCTAGGAAAAGAAGTGCTTCCTGTGCAAATACAAACAAGTACATTTAAACCTTATACAGATACAATAAAACCTTGTTTAAATAAGCCAATGCAAGATTTGCTTACTTGGGTAATCCATGTATTGTTGAATGAGAAAGTCTTGAGCCTGCAAGTTGAAAAAAAAATCACCTTCACAAAAGCTCATTAAGATCGATTGAACCAATTTTAGGGCAATGTAATGACCAATTAGCCTTGCCTGATGGCACAGTATAGTCTATTGAAGTCAAGACATGCTGACTTGCATCTATATTCCAGACCTCCAGCTAAAAAAAGGTGTTGCTTTAATTACCCTTAATTACAATGAATTGTTTCAGGATCTCTCTCATCCTGAGGAGCTTCTCTGGTTTCAGCACCACAGTCAGTGGACAGTGCCAGTCAGTGCTCCCTGCGGGCCAGCATTACACTTCTTATTACTTTTTCAATGGTTTTAAATTACTTTAATTTGCTACTGTAGCATCTGAAAGAGTGTATTCATTTAAAATGGCAGTTTATTGTAGTGCAGTTGCTAATTATGTGCTGAGTAGGCCTATACTACTAGTTTTGGGCAAAGAAATGCAAAAATGTGTTTCCTGTGGTAATGTCTAAATCGGCAGGTTTTATTGAAGTCAAAATTAGTATTTTATTTAACTATTTCAACCTGGATGGATGGACCACCTAATGTCATTTTTAAGGGCCAGATTAAGCATGCAGTGTGCAATTTATACAATATTATACTTACATATATTTATACTTTCAGGGGGATTGACATTTTTTAAAGGGGTCATATGATGCTGCTAAAAAGAACATTATTTTGTGTATTTGGTGTAATGAAATGTGTTTATGCGGTTTAAAGTAAAAAAAAACATTATTTTCCACATACTGTACATTATTGTTTCTCCTCTATGCCCCGCCTTTTTGAAACGCGTTGATTTTTACAAAGCTCATCAGTCTGAAAAAGCGAGGTGTGCTCTGATTGGCCAGCTATCCAATGCGTTGTTATTGGCCGAATACCTCAAACGTGAGACGGAAATGTTACGCCCCTCACATACTGTTGATGCCGTGTCCAGCCGGAGCGATGAGACATAAACATTAAAACACATTACAAACGAGGCATTTGTTGCATCCAGTGGGGACATTAATTACTGATTATAATAACTTATACTGTCTTTTTACATGTTGCGTTGCATTGCATCGCGCTGCGTAAACATAAAACTCTGTCTGCATTTGTGATCGGAGAAATGACAAACAGCAAGTGCTACTCTACTGCCCAGCATTTGAATCATCAGTGGCAACGAAAAACACAGTGGCCTAGCGTGAGGGGAAGCCCCGGCTTAGCGTGCGCTGAGGCCGGGATAGAGTGAGCTGAGGCGGGCTGGACTGGTTCCCTCAGCGACCAGCACAGATCAGCTCCAGGCATGACGAAGTGGATATCTTCCTCTTTTGGGAGACCAAACAAAATAGTTTCGCTTTCACAACGCAACACACAGCGTCTTCAGGACTTCGCTGCAGCGTCAACAATACTACAGTGAGAATAAAAGTTATGCCTTCTTTCTTTGCGTGAACATTTGGGAGGCGTTATGCAAATCTTCCCAGATCGTGACGTAGGTATGTGGGGGTGTGTTAGAACGAGCCGTTTTAGGTAGGCGTGGTTAACTCTTAACTTTTATAAAGAATATCTCTTTGGTTTTGAGACTTTAGTCTTTGCAACTTTACAGATCTTCTTTATGCACCAAGAGCTTGTAACACTCCAAAGAGAAAGGAAAAATTGAAATCGCATCATATGACCCCTTTAAATGGAATTTAATGAACCCTTTTCACATTTCCAGGGGGTTCACCGAAGCAGAAGTCATCATAGTTGGGTAAACTTCTACAATGGTGAACAGAAAGTAGGCCTACAACAAATATAATTTTTGCGCTCTCATTTGCAAAAGAGAGAAAAAAAATCTATGATAGTGTTTCTAAAACCATACAAAAGAGGAGAAAATATAGACACTGGTCGGAATAGATAAACATGTCAAATTTGCCGTCACTCTCTCACTTACACTTATGCAGCAGCGTTAACAGTTTTAATGCACATTAAGGTAATATAACACAAAGTGTTATAAATGTACATTAAAGGGGTCATATGATGTTGCTAAAAAGAACATTATTTGGTGTAATGAAATGTTTATGCGGTTTAAGGTTCAAAAAACACATTATTTTCCACATACTGTACATTATTGTTTCTCCTCTATGCCCCGCCTTTCTGAAACGCATCGATTTTTACAAAGCTCATCGGTCTGAAAAGCAAGGTGTGCTGTGATTGGCCAGCTATCCAGTGCGTTATGATTGGCCGAATGCCTCAAGCGTGTGACGGAAATGTTACGCCCCTACCATATTGTGAGGATGCCCGTCAGGTTGGAGCGATGATTCAAAAATATGAAAACCCATTATAAACGAGGCATTCGTTGCATCCAGTGGGGACATAATTATGGATTATAATGACTTATATGGTCTTTTTACGCGTTGTGTTGCATCGCGCCGCGTAAACATAAAACCATGTCTGCATTTGTGCCAAATGACAAACAACAAGCCCTACTCTACACTGCCCAAAAAAACTCTCTTTAAATATAAAAAACGTACTTACAATCTGTGAGTCAGAACAGCCGGCATTGTAGTCTACTCTACCAGGATCAGGAAACAGTCCTCCATAAAATGTGCTGCACACATCTGAATACTTGGGTTGAAGTGTTCTGGAACAGTGTTGTAAATACAACTTAACTACTGATTTCTAGTCGTGTCCATTTTTGGAAAGCCAAACAAAGTAGTTTCGCTTTCACAACGAAACACAGCGTCACACACGGCGGCCTAGAGTGAGCGTTGGCGGTCTGGAGTGAGCTGAGGGGCTAGAGTGAGGAACGGCCGGAGGGCTAGAGTGAGCAGAGGCGGCGGGCTTGACAACGGCGCGGCCGGTGGATTTGACGAAGGAGGCTTGCGGCAACCACATGTGACGACCCCGGGCTGAACTCTGCTTCATCCATGGTGAAAGCCGATATGGCAATCCACAGCGCAAAGTTGTTGTATTTCCTCAGCAACCAGCACGGATCAGCTCCAGGAATGACGAAGCGGATATCGTCCTCTTTTGGAAGGCCAAACAAAGTAGTTTCGCTTTCACAACAAAACACAGCGCCTTCACGACATGGTGGCGGCAACAACAATACTACAGCGAGAATAAAAGTTACACCTTCTTTCTTTGAACATTTGGGCGGCGTTATGCAAATCTTCCCAGATAGTGACGTAGGTATGGGTGTGCGTGTTAGAACGAGCCATTTTAGGTAGGTGTGGCTGACTTTTATAAAGAATATCTCTTTGGATTTGAGACTTTAGTCTTTGCAACTTTACAGATCTTCTTTATGCACCAAGAGCTTGTAACACTCCAAAGAGAAAGGAAAAATTTATTTAATTAAAAAATGAATTAAACATGCTAGATTTACGATGTTAACAACTGTTGAAAATAGTCATCACAGTCTGTGAAAAGCTCATCTCAAAATGTTTTTTAGCAGTAACACCAAGAATATTTTCAATTTTTAAACAAAACCCAAACGTTTTTACGATATAATCTATGAAAATTTTAGATGAAAACATGTCAATATCAGTGTTTTGACAGTGTTTCTTACCAGTGTTACCTCTTCAAGCGAGCTCATTTATTTTCGCAAGCATCAGTTTAAAATATATAAAATACACTAGTCTACATTAAATCAATAGGTTTCCTGACCCTAGTAGCTTATCAGTGGTAACTGTCAGTTAATGTACATATGGCAGAAATGTACGGAAAAATAAATTAAAGACGTAATCAAACAGACGATGAACACTATTAACAGCAATTATTATATGATGCAATCAAACTTATAGCAAAATGTGGTAGTTCTGTATGTTGTTTCAGGGTTGGCATCATCTGAGGTCCTCTGAGGGGTTGGCATCATCTCTTCTCAGGTGTTCTGGATCCAGACTGAAGCTTGTGTCAAGGATGTCAATCCCGTGGCAAAAACAGAGAAACAAATAGAGACATAATTAGCATAGCTGCTGTTCCAACCAAGCAAAATTGATTTGTTTAATCCAAGCTAAAGAATGATAATGTGCATATCAGATATAACTGCAGTAAAAGATTATGAGATGCATTATTTGAATGCTTGGCCAAAGAGATGTCTTTAATCTAGATTTAAACAGAGAGAGTGTGTCTGAACCCCAAACTTTTTCAGGAAGGCTATTCCAGAGTTTGGGAGCCAAATGCGAAAAAGCTCTACCTCCTTTAGTGGACTTTGCTATCCTAGGTACTACCAAAAGTCTAGAGCTTTGTGACCTTAGGGAGCGTGATGGATTGTAGCGTGGTAGAAGACTAGTTAGGTACACAGGAGCTAACCCATTAAGGGCCTTATAGGTAAGTAATAATATTTTGTAGCTGATACTGAACTTAATAGGTAGCCAGTGCTATAATATTTTCTTGACCTGGTAAGGACTCTAGCCGCTGCATTTTGGACTACCTGTAGCTTGTTTATTAAAGATGCATGACAACCAGCTAGCAGTGCATTACAGTAGTCCAGTCTAGAGGTCATGAATGCATGAACTAGCTTTTCTGCATCAGCATCATGACCCTCTAAGATTAAGTGTATTATTTGTAAGACAATAGTTACCACAGATTTACTAATTACAGATAGATGATAGATAGATAGATATTAAAATGCTTACATGTGTGTGAAGGGGTTTTCTTAACGCACTGATTGCATTGCAGCGCCAAAAACTGCCCACGTTCCGCTGAAAGCTTCTTTAGGCTACTCTCCCTCAAATCCCCCCTTAGCAGAGAGAGAGAGAAACAGAGGAAACCTCTGCTTTACACTCATTTGGACTCGGCTCAGAGTGCGGATCGTTTCGGCGCAGGGAAAGAGCATCTGCGATCGGACATGCAGCAAATTCGTCAGAGACCGGTCATTTGAAGACGCGCGTACTCGTTTGAAATCAAGCGAGCTAAAACATAACTCAGATTAAAAAGTACCACAGTAATGAATTAGCACTGGAATGTCTATTTTCCCATCACTCTACAGACCTGACTTTTTGGAGGCTGTTTGAGGAAGACATGAACTCAGTTGAAGTGTTTCTTATACTACTGGATATAAACAATAATGCTAAACGCTTGAGTCTGTGGGACTGAAGAGTAACTCCAGAGCAACATCCAATAACGACGTCTGGGCTGGAGAGCAGGTGCTTGTCTCTTCTTAAAGAGGAAAACAGACAGAGGATGTGACACGAGTATTTCCTTGAACAGTGATTTCCTGAAAGACACTGAATCACCACACTAAATCAGTGTTTGAATCAGACACTGAAACAGTGCTTCCGATTAGCAATCACAGCAGATTCGTATTTTATCGGCTTGTCCTTGTAACGCCGTCCTGTACTGACTGAAGCGACCGGACCAGCGCGCAGACCAGCGTCCTCCGGCTTCTTCCGCTCGGTGTAACCCCTGCGAGATCACCTCCAAACTAACTTGATCGCCTGGCCGTCCCTGGAGCCCGCTCATGGGTGACGCTGGACCGGATGGCGTGTTACTATCTTGTGATCAGCTCCACGCACCTCAGCAATGGCCACTACCGGAGAATCAAAGGAGTTTTCCGGGGTCCGCTCTGCAAAACCACCGGAGGCGAATCACCGGTAATAATACTCAATCGTTGCTTTTGTTTATTAAAGATATCAGCACGATGCGCTATTAGGAACTCATTAAGCACACTTTATTGATTTGTATTGTGATTACGTTTTAGTTCCCAGTTGTCTAAGTTAAAGTATGTTTATAAAACGCATGTGACAAAATCTGGACATATACTTACGTGGGAACACCTTTGAATGAAATGTAAAGAAGAGAGGATTTAATGACCTATGAAACTCATGCCATCAACATGACCTTCACTTGTAAACTGCACTAGACAGTGAAATCCTAAAAGCATTTTGTTTTATGTAGTAGGGATGAGGGAGTTTACTGTATGTATGCAATGCGTAAAGCATCACTCTATATATATATTAGATGTCAGGCTTGTGAGTCTATGAGGCATTTGTGACTTTATTGTGCTGTGATCACAGACCCCTGACGCTCTGTTAACAGAGACTGATGGCAGGTCTTGCTCTGTTGGGCTCAGACTATTGAGCTGTATGTTAAACTTTGACCTAAAGCACTGTTCTGGTACTAACCCACCTATGGATGCCACAACACCGTGCTTAGAAGCTTCAGCAACTGATTGGGAAATTCACTGATGATCCTAACCATCCTAAAACAGAGTGTGTGTCTGTCATATTTGAGGTTGTCACCAACACTAAAAACTACACTAAAAACAAAAATTTGGTCTAGAAACTGTTTTCACTCATAAATTGCACAAATAATTACAAAGAAACGGCAAGTAACACATTTACAATTAAATACAATACAATTAAACATGACATTCTGACATGAAGTAAGATGACTAATTCTTTTTCTTCATAAAAAATAATCCAATAATCTTTCTTTTATTTACAACATAAAAAATGACAGGGTACACTGAAAAAAATTGGTATAGTATTTACTTTGAAACAGTTTCACTCAGAAATTGCTTGTAAAAAGGCAAATGGCATATGACAGATTGAATGTAACAAAATTTTAGGAAGGCTAAAAAAATTTTTTCTTGTAAACATACAATTTTTTTTTTACAACTTTGAAAAATCATTTAGCTGTATTTGTCATCCATATGTATGTATAATTCTTTGGAGGGCATCATTGGCCTCTTCTGCTGATGAAATTGTAGTTGTTTAGTCAGCATATTGAATGACTTTAAAGTCTCCATTTGTTGTTTTATGCTTCAAAAAGAACGCACAGCTAATCAGAAATTATATGAGATGAAATGAGGACAAAACAGGATGCTTAGTGCTTCTATAGCCAAAAGAGAGCAGATAGAAACAAGAGGTGAGAGAAAACATTTTTGTCTTTTTCTGGTAGTTTCACCTGCCATTTCAGCCAGCATTATAATCCATTCCATTCACATGCTTAATTGAGGCTCTGCTGTTGTATGAGCCTAAACTTTGTGTCCGGTCCAGGGAAATTATATATACTAATGAAGACTATTACTTGTTCAAAACCCAGCATACACAAATTGAGACTTGTACCTGTTGTACCTTGTGATAGGTAAGTGTGTGTGTGTGTGTTTTCTACTTGGTCTGCCCGATAGGACGGACAGACAGTGCAGGCTGATTGGAAAGAAGCTGGGCTCAGTGGTGATAGTTTTGATGGGTAATTTCAGAGCAGGTGTTGTGAAGGGTGCATTTGCTCCAGCTTAAATCAGAGTGCCATGTTCACTCTAACTCAAAGCACGAGGAGGACACACACACACACACACACACACACACGATCACGCAGGCACATATTCAAACATACAAAGATGGCAGAATGACATGCTCGGGATTCTCAGCCGCTCTGGCTGACAGCCTCTGTTGTCTTTCATCACATGCACATTAATAATTGTTTGCATATGTTGCAGCGATGTGCTCTAAAAATGTCAGATATGCAATAAATCATCTAAGCTTTGCTAAATGTCTTTAACATAATAATCCGGGCACTATACAACATTTAGGGTGCTTTGTGTAAAACGATTAGGAGCTGTAAGAAAGCTGTGGGAACTGTTCTCATTTATAGAGGAAGAAACATTGGTGGTGATTCAAAAAATGGGCATGTCATGCTCCAGTTGTTCTCTAGCCCAGCACTAGAGGGCACCTCACTGGTGCAAAGTTGTCAGGTTTTTGTTCAAGGTTCAATGAAGAAAAGGAAAAATCTAGATTAAATCACATGGCAGGTCATGGGTCTTGAAATGCATTTTTAAAATTATTTTAGAATGTTTCCTGAGGTGCACTTATAATCTTAGGATACCTTTTTTTCATAAAAAATGGTCATAATTTTGATTATAAATGGTCATTTTCAATTATAAATTTAGATTTGATCGCTCCATTGGAAGGGGCGTGTCTTCTGTGAGACTTCACTGTAAATGCCCATTGCTATGATTGGCTAACATCTTTGCATATGAAATGAGTATTACATGTGAAACTCTCTTGAAAGTTGTTGTTGTGCTTTTACTGTAACAGCTGCCAGTGTTAATTACAGCCTTATTCTTAGAACTACTCCTGTAGCATCAAATGTTGCAGTGCTTCACTGGAGCCGAACACAGTCATGTCTACAGATCATTTCCTTATAATCTCCTTATTGCAACGTGATTTCACCTATATTTTTATTATAACTAACCTAGTGAAAACACAATGTAAATAAGAGACTCGTTGAGCAGTGTCAGCTTTGTCAATGATTATAAAGGGAGTTTAGGTGAAAATGCAGAAATCAAATCACTGGTAGACTGAAGATACGATTCTCCCCATTTCAGATCCGGAAGCTTCAGAAAGGTAGACAGAATAATTCATATTTTAAACTGGAGGATTAATTTTGAGTTTTGAAACATGAAGTATGTTTTTATTGTAGAGTAACCTGTTATATGTGTAAATATCAAGAACATTTTGATTCTCAAATTTAAATTATGAATTGAAGCAGAAACATACATTATTAACATTTTTACTGTCGCTATTCCAGAATATTAAGAAAGTTTTAAGTCCTGCATGGACTCAGTCTTCCACATATTCTGTAGTTTATAGAAACAAATGAATTTAAAACATAAGTACTGGACACCACAAGGCAAAAATTGTACCCTATCTCTTCGTTTGACAGCACATTTTGTGAATAGAGGCTGTTCTCTATCTTCCTTCAAAAAAAAAAAAAACATGCCGCAGCTGAGCCACAGATTACCTGTGTGCAAAGATTTTGGTTGATCTGCAAACGTCAGCTTTAGAAAAAGCTAAAAAAATAATATTAAATTAAATTTTGTACTGATTTCTCTAACGAAGTGTATGCAAAACCCCACTATTAATTTTGTACCTACAATAATCGCAGAACTTTTTTCCTTTCTTTCTTTTGGAAGCTCTTGCATGTATGAATTGCATTTTTTTATGTATTCTTTGATTAATCCAAGTTCTCTCCCCTCTAGACCAGAATACATTGCCATAAATGAGAGATTCTGTGCAGATTCTGCTCATTAATGTCTTTAGAACAGCAAAAAACAGCTGAATCTTCCTTTGTTTCCCATGGCGTAGTAGCCTTAAGACCAAAACTAAACCTTACCGAAATGTTCCCCATCATTGAGTCTCCTGTTTAACTCATTGAACTGGAATGTCTCAGTCTCAGTGAGGTGTCCCAGAGTAGTTATTTGGATCAGCTTTCCGCTACAGCAGTCAACACCTGTTCGTATGCCCTGTGGTTCAGCCAGTACCATCAAGCTCGTCTTATGGGGCTCCATCTCAGCTTTTTGTGGAGAGGCTCCAAGCAGATCTTATGCTGAACTCGCTCAGTATCTGGGTTATTCCCTCTCACTCCGCCCATGACGCTGTGTGGATGTTTGATGTTGAGCTGCAGCAGGGACCCGGTTTGCATTCCAAATTGCCATCTCCCACCGCATTTTTAAAACATGTATGCCACTGAAGAGGCATATGTTGATAGGTCTGCCAGCATGAGTGAGACACAAATGCACAATTTATGTGCAGAGTCAATGAGTTTTAATTAGTTCTGAAACATTGTAGCTATTGCGTTAGAGTGAAGGGGCTTGTCGGTTTGTGCTAGCTGCTGCTGAGATAAAGAGGCATTTCTTCATTGGTTTGTGTGCATTATATTAAGATTTTTCAAAAATGCAATTTTTCAGGGGGATCACCCGGTTTTTTTCTTTGCATTTATTTAAAATAGAAATCTTTTGTAACATAATATGTAGGGATGTAACGATTCACTCAACTCACGATTCGATTCATGATTCGATTCACAATTTTTTTTTAACAAAATGAAATTTAAGGCAAATTATAAATTAAATGTGTCCTTTTATTATTGCTTGGACAAAATGCTGCACATTTCTTTGTGAAATTGAAATATAACACTATAATAATATACTAATATAGCACTTGCATATTATTGCTCTTTTGTTGATTTTGATTGCTTCTATTGTCCTTATTTGTATGTCGCTTTGGATAAAAGCATCTGCTAAATGACCAAATTTAAATATAATGTAAATGTAAATAACAAAACTAAATTTAAATTTTAAAACAAGCCCCAAATCAAATAAATACAGTTGTGGTCAGAATTATTGGCATCCTTGGTAAATATGATCAAAGAAGGCTGTGAAAATAAATCTGCATTGTTAATAATTTTGATCTTTTATTAAAAAAAAAAATCACATAAATCTAACCTTTCGTTGGAGAATAAGAATTTAAAATGGGGGGAAATATCATTATGACATAGAGAAAAACATTTAATACACATTGGACACAATTAACGGCACCCTTTTATTCAATACTTTTTGAAACCTCCATTTGGCATAAGAGCTCTGAGTTTTCTCCTATAATGCCTGATGAGGTTAGAGAACACCTGACGAGAGATCAGAGACAATTCCTTCATCCAGAATCTCTCCAGACCCTTCAGATTCCCAGCTCCATGTCGGTGCTTCTCCTCTTCAGTTCACCACAATAATTTTCTATAGGGTTCAGGTCAGGGAACTGGAATGGCCATAGCAGAAGCTTGGTTTTGTGCCCAGTGACCCATTTTTGTGTTGTTTTTA